CCAACCTAGAGGTGCATGGGCTAAATCGGCCCAGGCATTTTGGAACAGTTAGTTACAGTAAGAAAGCTAGCTGGCACATCTTCATTTTACAGACAAAGCAAGACTCTGAGATTTTAGTAATGATTTTCTCAAAGTACAGGACTTAAAATGAGTTGAGTGAAGTTTCAAAACCAGAGACATTTGATTCTTACCAGTAGGGTCAATTGCTCCTTCCAGGGACCCTTCTATTAACTGGCTATTTTTAGCATGCTTCTCTGGGTTTTGTATTGTTTTTCTTTAAAGACAGAAGTCACTGTCATGTTTATGACTGAACAGCTAAGGATTGGAACTGACTTTCTAGCCAGGCAGGAGGAAATGGAGGGTGCATTTGTCTCAACCGCTGTCTTCGACCTGGCTAGAGAACATCTCAGTGTCCTCTCCACATCTGATTTTGATCAGGCCTTGTCCTTCTCCATTGGAGCTGATGTCAAGTAGTGGGCATTTTTACTTCAACATGGGAAGAATGATTTGTAAACATCATCACCACCAAAAGCAAGTAACCATCAATGCTAGCTTTCCAGAAACTAGCCAGGCAGTTGGCATGAAAGGCTTGGTTTGCCTATTGCATCTCGGATCATAATCAATAGTTGGCAGCTGTTTGGCAGGTGGGCCCTGGGGGACAGTGACCTAAGGATGGCACTGTAACTCCGAGGGCCTGGCCTGGGTATCAGGGGCCTCAGCCCTAGGCTCATTTGTGGGGACATGGAAGCCTCTCCCTCTCTCTGGACGTTGATTCCTCCATTGCAGAAGAGGAGCTGTCAACCCCTCCCTGTGGTTTCCTGCTCTGATGCTGTCACCAAGCACGAGGCCTCTGAACGTTCAGGTGGCGCTGCAAACAGTGAGTGTGTGTCAAGTTCCAGATCATCAGATTGGAGCCTGTTATCTTCATGATGTGCCCTGAGCAAGCCAGGATTTCATGTCACCGGTGTGGCACGGATATAATTTAGAAAAAGATGAGATTCCTCCAAAGTACAATAACAGTCCTCATTATTTATTTTTTTCATCTGATTTAAATAAAGATAGTGAGTGCATTTAAAGCTGTATTTGATTGAACAACTATCCCTTTTGAAAAAAATTTTCCTTGACAAAAGCTATGAATTATTAATTTCTGTCATTGTGTTCACAGAACAAATGTAATTGTAAGTAAATGTCTGAAGTTAATGAAAAAAATTAAGAAAAGAGGATTTCTTTATAAGAATTAATCAAACATTTCCACAAACCTCTTTGAAATCGTGACTCTGAAGCCTTGAACAGTTCTTGGGGGCTTCTGTCTACATCAAAGGGCCCTGAACATCACTGCCCCGTTGGCATGAAGATGGGAGCATTTGATTGGGTGGTACCAGCTTGGAGATGAAGCTGTAGAGATCGAAACCTCAGCTCTCTCCAGGCCTCGAGTCCCACTTGAGATGTGTTCTACTCATCTTGAGCCACCTTTTGTTGATGAGAGGTCACAGAGTTCCTATCCCATTGCTTACACTGTTTTCACAGCCAGGAACATTTTCTAGTCACAACACAATGAAGAAGTTGAGCTGTGATTTCTTAAGAAGAAAAGAAAGACACAACAGTGCCCAGAGAGTTGGTCCCCAAGTAAGAATGGCTTAGTACTGCGATGACGTCAAATCCTAACCCTCACCAGTCCCATGAATCAGGCTTTACCAGCGCCTACGAGAACTCCCGTCTTCCAAAGGGCGCTCCATACCAGGTCTCTGTAGATCACCGATGCTGCCCCATCCAACTCTGCCTGCTCCTATAACTGCACTGCAGCAGTGAAAACCGAACGTCCAACCCTGGGAAGGCTCGGTTCTGCTTCAACGCCCTCAGTGTTGTGACCCAGGTCACAGCTAAGTTCCCCTTCCATGGGGAACCCAGTGTAAAAGTGAAAGTTTGCCTCCTCATGGTAAAGGCTGAGTGAAATGGGGCCTGGTGTCAGGGACAGGATACAATTTGCAAAAGAAACTACTTAGTTTTTATTTCAAATCCTTTGTCTCTGAGGGACATCCTGGCAAGCTGTTCAGCCACACAGTCGTGGGAGTCTGGCACCGCAATGGAGGTCTGACGCCAATGCTCCACCCTGGGGCCAGAGGTATGTGATGTCTCTCAGTGTCCTTTGCAGGCCAATGGAGCCACGCGACTGAGTCCTGTTAACGGCCCTAAAGTCTCTCACGTGGGGAGCCCTGGTCTCTGTCTCCCGTGCTCCCCAGGCAGGTACAGAGCATGAATGCTTTGCTTCCTCTCAACATGGCTGCCGGAACCAATCAAGGGTAGAAAGAGTGAGAGGGTTCCAGCCTGTCGTGGTGCGGGGAGGGGCAGTGGAGTGGCTCATCTCCAGCCAGGCTGTGGCAGGCAGCAGAGACCTAGACGAGAACCCAAGGATACAGCCCTCCAAGCCCACCTCCGGTGCTTGGCTTCTGCCGTTCAGGCCTCACCTCTCACGGCTTCCCCGGCTCCCGAAAGGTCCTTCCTTACTGGGGAAAGGCACGCACAACAGGAACCTTATGCAGCGTATGTTGGACTGAACCACAGCAGAGTATTCCAAACACCGGGCATTTGAACCACAACAAGCACACCTTTGCTGTGCTCAGCCAGTGAGATGCACACTGTCACGTGAGCTAGTGGGGTACATTCTTCTGCAGGAGTCACCACCTCCAATCTTCTGGCAACGGGAGACGAAGCTAAGAGGCTCTGTTTCCTGGGACTATTAGATCATTATTGTGAGTGGGGGTGGGGTTGCTAAATGGTCCCTGACTTAAGATATGAGGAGAGGTTTGCGTTCGGAAGATTCTGTCTTTGTGGGTAGTCGTGGTAACCAGTTGGATGAAACAGAAATTTCTTGACTGGAAGCAACCAAAATGTTGTGAATTTAGTCAACTAGCATATTACCTACAAGGGATGCTGGAGTATGAAGCTAGGCCAGTGCATGGTTTAGGATCCTCAGTTTTGCAAAAAGGCAGAATTTTTCTCTTTTGCTAGAAAATATCAGTGGCCAGAGAATGGTGGCATTTTTGTTGATGCTGTTGCTGTGTGGGGGATCATATTTTGAGACCCCCTTTCTCTATCTTGCCTCCCTTCTCTCTTTTCTCATGCTCCCACCTTCCACATTAAACATTAAAAAAAAAAGAGATTAAGGGAAAAGGCACATTCCTATGATTTACTCCAATGTGCGCACTTCAATCTATGCACAAGGAGGCCCCAAATCATCCCCAGACCAACACACCATCCTTAGCAAAGGGACCCTCTTAACTCCGTCACTGAAGTCTCCATTAATCTGCCTGATATATAGATGTCAGGGTTTTTGGGCAGTTGAAACATGAAGCAAGGCATCAGCTGGGGATTGCGTTTCAAGCCATAAAGACCATGTTTACTTACTGGTTCTGTTTAAGAATTTTCCCCTATCATTTTACTCAAATGGCCTCCCATTTTATGGGAAATAAAGTTAGAACTAATAAAGGCAGCCTCTTCTGAGTTGGGCAAGGCATCCAGGCTGTGACCATCTTCACTGTAACAAAATACTGAAATTATTTAGAGACAACTGTGAACGGCTCCCGTTCCCTGTTGACAAAAATAGCAACGCGAGCTAACGTGGAAACAGAATGTAAACATGGGAGAAGAGTCTGAAGATTAATTAAAGACACATTAAGAATCAGAGGAAGGAGCCAAAGGCAGAAGAACCCAGCTGAAGGCCTGCAAACTTGACTCTCAGCACCTTGGCTGTAGCTGGGCACTCTAGGGTACCTGAAGGACCTTAAATGGGTTCTACTCTCACTTCTGTTTCATCTGTTGCCCAACAGGAAGCATTGGGCCACATTGGGTCCACGTTTCTAAACAATGTAGCCAATGTGAGATGGGCATCCTCTTGCTTCAGGACTCTGAGGGATGGGAATAGCCATAGGAACTGAGTCCTTACGAATAGAAATGTTGGTAACCTGCTGCTCATGATCAACAGATTCTTTGCTAACATTTTCCCTCTACAATCCAACCCCAAATCTCTGTCCCCTAGAGGCCCCAGACTATGAAATTTCTAAGATCCCTGGTGATGGGAGATATAATTCTGTAAATCTGTCTCTTATTGGTTGTTCAATAAAGCACTGTTGGCCAATAGGAAAGCAAGATATGCGGGACTAGGGGGTCAAGGAGGATTCTGGGAAAGAGAGGCAGAGTCAGACATCATGTAGCCGCCATAGAAGTACTTATATTAACAATTATGGGTTAAATACTTAAGTCAGAGCTAGCCATTAAGAAACAAGCAAATGGACAACGGCTTCATAATTAATATATCTTCCTGTGTGTTATTTGGGGACTGCAACTGTGGCAGAGCCCAGGCGGCTGGCGGGGTGGGGGGGAACCAAAGCGGGTGGCAAGGAATGCTACACTCTACACCCTGGTTCCCCTGTGTTCTATCACAGCAACTGCTCAGATTCTGACAGGTTTTCTGGATTCTGTGGAAGTCATGCAGTGTGTTCATACGCATGTGTGAGGCAGCTGCCAGAACTGTCCCACTGCAGCAACCTGGGGACCCTTTTCTATCCCCCTCCACCGCCATATTGGCTACGTGCACAGTGCATGACATGCCTGACAGAACAGCCTGTGTGAGGAGAGATCTGACTGGCTCAGTGCTTCAGAGGGAAAGGCATGCTGGAGTTCCTGACAGCCAGGGCGTGTGATGGAGGCTGATCACATCATGGTAGACCAGGATGCAGAGGGTGGCTGGAACCAAGGACCAGGCTATGTCCATCAAGGGCCCAATCCTGGTGACCTGCTTCCTCCAGGTGTGCCGCCTCCAGCAGTTCCACAACTCTGCGGCATGACTCTACCAGCCTCGGGACAGGTCTGTGAACACAAGCGTAAAGTGGACAGTCCAAACTCAAATCGTAAGAGCTTCTCAATTTCCTTCCACAAAGGTCTCCATTTCTGGTTTTTAAAGACTATATAACTGGCATTTTACTTCATCCATTTTTTAACAGGGATGTTAAAAAGACATTCTTGATGTCCGGTGGTGGAGCTAATGGATTTTCTGCGAACCTGGAAAGATGGTTGTTGTGTTAGCCTTTGGGCCTGACTGGGTAAGGAGTCAACTCTGAGGAAGGGAGGACTGGAGAGCAATTTCTCTCAATCCGGGGAGATTTCATGTTGCCTAAGCCGCTGACTGGCACGTTTTCAGGGATGACCTTCTCTCCCCAGCAGAGGACATGGTGTCTAATGGTATAGTCATGAAGGCACCATCTCATCAGAGATCTGTAGTTGTAGATGGGGGGAGGGATGTAAACAAACTCTGGCCCAGAGGCCAAACTTGGCTTCCCACTTAGGCTTCCTAAGAGCCTCAAGCTGCCATGTTTAATTGCTTGAACAACAAAGAGTTTGCAGAGAAATCTGCCACATTCACTCAAGTCATTCATTTACATATTATTTTCAGTTGCTTCCATGGTCAAAGGCAGCAGAGAACATATCTGTGGAACCCAAAAATCTTTAAAACCTGAGTATGACACAGAAAATGTTTGCTACTCCGCCCAGGTTGTTTCATAGAGACACTACGGGGTGTGTCATTTCCATATCTCTAAGATTTATTTATAAGTGGCATTTTTAGTTTAATGTATGTGCATGCATGTGTTTCTATGTGTCTGTGTGCCATGTGTTTCTGTGTGCTGGTGCCTATGAAGGCCAGAAGAGGGCATAGGACCCCAAGAGCGGGAGTCACAGACATCTGTGAGCCCCCGACATGAGTGCAGGGAACTGAACCCAGGTTCCTTGGAAGAGCCATCTCTCCTGCCCCAGTCAAATTTTTAAGCCAATCTTCTCCAGGCTGGCACTTGTATTTGTGTGTTGTAAAATAATACAAAATTTATTTTTTTAACTACTTTTAAGTCTCCAATGGCAACAAATACATACCATGGTTTATCTTCTGTTACTGGAATTTAACGTCACAAATGGGGTAATTGTAGTTTATTTGCATTCTGATTCTGAAAATTGCATTTGGGGACAGCTGTTACAGTTCAAACACAGCACAGACAGTGATAGGGCAGGGGGGACTGCCGTTTGACAGCTTCCAAAGGTGCTCATCTTAACTGCCTCCTAAAGGTCTAACCCCCAAAACAACTAGCCAGGGCTGTTGAAGTTCCAGAATATAACTTTTGGGGAGATGCTTTGAAACCATGACAGTATACTCAGGAGGTTGAGCAATTGTCACCACTGTCTCTTACCAGAAGTTTCATTATAGCAAGCTGAAACTATGGTACTGTTAGATAATAACTCCTACTGTATTTTCCCATGGGCTCTGATAAGCCCCAGCCTATTTTCCATTGGATTTGGCTGTCCCAATATACCATGTCAGTGGGGTCATACAGTGACCTTTCTGTCTGTCCTTCCACTTTGAAACATGTGTTCAAGGTCTATTCATGATGTAGCTGAATCAGAATTTTATTCATTTTTGAAGGCTGAATAATATTCCCTTGCCAGTATACAGCATTGGGATTCCCCACTTTTTTTTCTTCTAGTTAGTGCTGTGATGTATAAAATGTAGTTCTTCAGATCCACTCCGGTGTGTGATATCAGCAGGGACTACAAACAAAGGCTGTGTGCTCAGAGGAAATCTAGACATGGTGGAGAGGGGCATGTGTACTTTTGTCTGTATCTTGATGAGACCACATGGGTGAAAGGAGTCTTTTGTTCAGGCGCATGTTTCTATGTGAATGTCAGTGTCTGGGGAAGGGAGCAGCTGGGGATCTATAGGTATTGTCCCAGGTTTACAGAGAACCTCAGTACCATATTGATTTGACTGCACCCATAGAGAAGTGAGTGTGAACTGTCCCAAGGGCAGACATGTCTTCACTGGTTTCCTCCACCCAAGCTCCATAAGGGAAAATGGTGCCTGTGCCCGGCTGCTGTATATGTGCGGTGGAGTCAGAATTCTTTATACTAAAATGGTCTAAGCCAGTGGTTCTCAGCCTGTGGGTCATGACCCACTTGCAGTCAAGTGACCTTTCAAATGCGTCGGATACCAGATATCCTTCATATCAGATATTTACATTATGATTCATAACAGTAGAAACAACTTTAGCAATAAAATAATTTTATGATGTGGGATTAGGGGTTCACCACAACATGAGGAACTGTGTTAAGGGGTTGCAGCATTAGGAAGGCTGAGAACAACTGCTCTACATATGACAAAAAGCAAGGCTCTTTGATGTCTCCAGTTACAGAACACACAAAGATGGCGTCAGGGAACTTAGCCAAGTAGAAAGGGAGACTCACAGATTGCCATTGGGACACTTTTTGAGGAAAACCCAGTGACACTCGCAGGACAGTGCAGTGGCCTTAATTCCGAGTCTCAGCATTAGATCTCACATCAGTTCTTTGGTTGTTATGCTGTCTTTGACGAGCTTCCTGTGGGCTTCTGTTGACACTGAATCCTGGGGATGTCACCAAGGAGCAGGGAGTGAGGGTGTGGGTCTGCTCTCATTCTGAGGGTGAAGAGTTCTGTAGACACGGACATCCCACCAACAGGAAACCCTGGCTTTGAGAGGCTAAATGAATGGGCTGTTCTAATGTAGATGCCCGTGTGATTTTGAAACTGCCGACTGAGTCATTAGTACACAAATACTTTTTGAGCGGTTTAGACTCAACATGCTTAGTGAATGGAAGGCTTGGAACTAAAAGCACTGAGAAAAAAGTGACCAAGACACTGAGTAAGGGATATATGAATTCCAGAGTTGATGGACCTTTGACCGTGTGTATCAAGTATGCTACTCATGAATATGAATGGTTTTTAAAATTAAACTAAAGCAGAAGACAAAGGCTATGTGGCATGTAAACAGTGCTGCAATAAGCAATGTCACTGTGGTTATAATTCAGGGGTAATCAATGAAATGCCGTCGGCATTCCTAACATGGAGTCAATGCACACAAACTTTTAATATAAGCCTAATTATGACTGTCTCTTTGCATGAAACTAAAAATATTGAAAATGCTGACATTGGGGAGGTGCCCTTGGATCAAATCTCCTGAAGTCAATAATCTATTATGATTTTCATTTTGCAGAAGTAGTGCTATTATTTCAAAAGATCTGGAAAATCAATTTGGCCTTCAGTATATCTGTGTAATAATGACATCCTAATTAAAAATCCCAATCTGAGGAGTACAAAGGATGAGGTTTAATCTCTAATCAATGAACACCAAGTCCAGAAGTTATAGATGCAATCACCCTTTTTTAATGAACTTTCTTACTTTCCCCAGGTTTGGCCTGCTCTTCTCTCTGTAGTTTTGGAAACCCTGTCTGTGTGGATACACATCCCAGGAAGCAGAGACCACTGGGTGAAACGAGGATGTATATTAGAGCAAGAAGCATCAAAGAATGCATATCTCCAGAATTGTGTGGGTTTCTTTTTAACTGGAATTTATAATTGCCCCTAATTATAGGACATATTTTACATGTTCCCTTTGAGAGGCTGAGAAGGGGTGGAGTCCTGTCCACTCCAGTCACAAGAGCTATAACCTTGACATTTTAATTAGATGTTATTTTGAAATATGTAAAAGTGATTTAATGCTCACCAAAACATATCATTGATTGTGCAGTTTGCCCAAGAAAATAAAATGATACACAATTTGAAAAATAACCAGCCCCTCAGAGGAACTCTAGAAACGCTGGAGGGTAAATGCCAGAAGATATCTCACCGCTGCGAACATGGATTTTCCGATGTTTCCTCTAGGCAAAGTTCCTTCTCTGGAGTAGCCCAGTGTAAATGGCCTCAGACTACACAAAGGAGGTGGGGTTAAATGACTTATGGGTCCTGCACACCCATCCTGCAGATAAGAAGGGAGGCCAGAGGAGGGTCAAGAATGAATGCTTTAAAAGGGATTTCTGGTGCCCTATTACCTGGCTGCATGAGGGTGACTAAAGCAACCCCTTTGGTTCTCTTGTCACCAGAGGCCCTGCTACCTCATGCTTTGGTAGATTACAGTGTGGGGCAGAGCACGACGCAGACCAACAGGCCTCTTGTCCTAAGCTTGGCCCACTAGATCAGCACAGAGTAGGATGGGATGAAATGGGCAGTTACTGTATCCAACACTGGAGAAGGTGTAGGGAAAACCCAGGACCAAGAACCCTGGGATTCTCCACCAAGATGGGAACTTATCATCCTTCAGAATCTCGAGCCCTTCCCCAAGACTAAGAGCTTCTACATTAATTCTCCTGGGGCTTGAAAGAGCAGGATAGATCAACAATGCAAGGGGAATTCTCAACCTTCCTATACTATGAATACAGCTCCTCATGTTGCGGTGACCCCCCCAATCATAAATTTATTTTCATTGCTATTTCACAACTATAATGTTACTACTGTTATGAATCCTAAAGTAAGTACCTGTGTTTCCTAATGGTTTTAGCTGACCCCTGTGAAAGGGTCATTTGACCCCAAAGGGGCTCGACCCCCAGGTGGAGGGATTGCTGTTCTAGATGGTCGACTCTGCCCTAGTGTTCTTGGCTGTTGTGCTCTGGAGAGTCAGCATGAACTATTTAAAGCAAGGCTTATCCAGGCATGCCACTGGAGTGCTTATAGCCAACGTCAGAATATAATGAAGAAGTAATAGGAGAAAAATTTTCCACATGGTTCCCTGCACTACGCTTGGCAGGCATCACCCACCAGAGATGGATGACCTCTGCATTCATTACCTTGGTGCTGCTGTGACCGAGGTACCTGGAAGAAACCATTGAGGGAGGAAAGGTTTGTTCGGCTCACAGCTTAAGAGAGTTTAGTCTGTCGTGTGGGCTGGTGGGAACACCTCAGTCCAGTTGAAAGTGGGCTATGAAGCAAAGATAACAGCACAAGCAGGCATAGCCTTCAAAGGTCACCCAGCCCCCAAGGGATTTACTTCAACCAGCTGGGTCTCACCCCTAAAAAATCCCATAGCCTTCTAAAACATCACCACCTGCTGGGGTACGATTATTAAAAACATAGGGCTGTGAGGACCTCCTCATTCCTCATTTCCATATCTTGTCCGTGGGTATGCTGTGATATGCTTCCCATGGGCAGTTGTGGTGTTTCCCAAAGGGAGCCCAAGAGTTGTGTGGAATCATAGGACCTGGCCAAGATTAGGGAATTCCAGAGATGCCTGGTGAGAAGAGAACCAGACAGAAATGTGGGGGCTCTGAATCTGCAGAGCCTGGCTGCATTGTCTTCTCACAGGACGCCTGAGCTCACTGTCTTCTCTCAGGAGACCTTGCCCAACTGTTTCCTCACAGGAGACCTGACCCTATTGTCTCCTTGTTGGAGACTAAAACCCGTTCTCATGAAGACCTTACCCCACTGTCACGGCTGCACGGGAAAGCAGATCAGTCACATTGGTACAAAATCCAAAGTCTGAAACTGAAGTAGGTGGGGCACAAAGGGAGTGGGGAGAGAAAAGGCTGCCCTTCAGCGCACCCTTATTCTGTCCCCTGACAGCTCTCACTGCCCTTCCACAGGGTGATACTATCACAGGGTGAGCCAGAGGATGAGAGCCAGGAAAGGGTCTCATGCCAGGGCAGGGCATTGTTTCCCCCCTCCCCTCCCCTACCCCTCCCCTTCTGCCTCACTGGCTCCCCACACAGACAGTGGCGGAGAACAGAAATTGCGGCTTCAGGTTACTGGTGCTCTCCATCTTTGGGTACCAGTGCCTTTCCACCACCGCTTCCTCGCCTGCCCTGCAATGCAGGATGATTGTCCTCTGGGGAGGAGGGCACCCGTGAAGCTATTGTTGGGAGAAGACATAGAGAGATTCTCTCATCATCTCCTCCCGTCTTCCAATGGGAAGCCCTCCCCAGCCAGGAAAGAGAAGCTGGAAAAACATTCCCAGGAGGAATGCAGGGTAGGGGCACATCCCCTAAAAACCCACTTGTGTCTAGGCTGCAACTGTATTTTCTGCACGCACCCCAGCAGAATTTCCTGTGGATTTCAGACCATCCTTTATTTCCAATTACACTCTTGTTCACATTATCGATTTGGAGGATACAAATGTTGAATGACAAGAGAGGCAGAAGAAGCAGGGAGGGGGAGAAAAATTCCATTTTGCCTGAAGGAGAAGATACTGAAATGCCACCCCGCGCAGCATCTCCGAAGCGTTCATCAATGTGGCAGAGGCTGGCTCAATTATCTTTGTGTCAGATGATTATCTGAGAGCTTAATTTAATCTCCATTATCCTCCCCCGTCATATTTCAATTAAATCTGCTATCAGAGTGTTAACACATCTTTGAACCTGCTATTTCTTCAGTTAATTTTCCACTAAGAGGTGCTGGAGAGTAACAGATGTCATAATTATGCAATTATTAAGTGTATCTGACACTCGTTCTCTCAGGATTTTGTGGTTGGGGTAGGAGCGTTGGAAAATTAATCTGATGGCAATATGCTTCCGTTGTGATCCGTAACACCACTGCAGGCTGGGGGTTGTCTTCCTGCTGTTCCTGAGGCTGCCACCAGGAAAGATGCAAGATTAACTGGTTCCTTTCACTATCCCACATCTGGTAAACTGGATGAGTTCATTAGGCCAAGCAGTTCAGAGGCAGTGTTGACTTTTCTAACCTTCTGTGAGTCCTCGGACGTCTAGTAGGCAGATCTCAAGGTACTGTTGGAAGTAGAGACAGCAATGTGATAGACAAAGTTAACCTTGACTTTCCAGTCTTGGGCTTTGGTTAGGGACCAGTTATAAGCTATGGCCTTGAATGTATTACATTCTCTGTCTGCACGTTGTTTCATGATAATCCAGCAGCTGACTCTGTAACTATTGCCCCTCCAAGCAGTCCATGAAAACCCTTACAAGCTGCCTATCCTCTCCCTCTTGCACATGCATGAGAGAGACAGAGAGAGAGAGAGACAGACAGAGAGAGAGACAGAGAGAGAGACAGAGAGAGAGACAGAGAGAGACAGAGAGACAGAGAAGAAGAAGTTTCATCTTAGATATCCCTCAAAGGCTCATACATTACAAACCCATGGTATGTCCCTTCCCTTCTGTCTTTGTGTCTTTGCATTCTGGACTCCACAATCTGAGACATCATATTCTGCTATATTAGTGCACATTCCTATGATGTGCCTATAGCCTTGCTATAGCTCAACAGATTAACCATTTGTGGGCTAAAACCTCAGAATGGTGAGCAAAACAAGTCTCCCTCCTTGAATTTGATTTTCAGGTGGTGTTTTGTCACAGCAAAACAAAGTACACACACACACATACACACACACACACACACACACACACATTCTTGTTCTCCCTCCTCTTACCTTCCTCCTTTTCTCTTTCTCTTTCACACATACTTCTAGATATTTACATTCTCAAAACTGTTCAATTTGAGGGATGAGGGGATATCTATCTGTTTTGCATCTGTAACATATAGCCATTAAGACCAAATGGCCATCAGGGCTTCAAATCACAACTCTGCCATTTGTGACATGACCTTAGGCAGAGAGCTTACTTGTCTGATCTTTTATATTTCTTTTCCCATTGCATGGTGACAGCATCATGAAACTGGTTTCAAAAGATTGTTGAGATTGTTAAATAAAATATTATGTTTGCCACTGTCTATTTGTGTACTTGGTTCATGTATAGGAAAGGTGCTGAAAAAAAATACAAAGAAGTTGAAGTTAGGGATAGATGTGTAGACTGGATATTACTGAGTATCTTTGCAAGTTTCTTCCTAATGTGCTGTAGTGTTTTAAATATGGCAAGCCTAGAAGAGAAAACAGAAAATTTTCTGACAATCTAACCCTCATGCAACATGTTGAGATTGTTAAATAAAATATTATGTTTGCCACTGTCTATTTGTGTACTTGGTTCATGTATAGGAAAGGTGCTGACATTCAAGAGAAAGATATAAGAGTGTCTGTCAGCAGTAGACTAGAAACAGAAGGCAAAGACCTGGTTCTTCATCACAGAGCAATTGTGAGCATCTTCCAGAAGGTCTCAGCCAAGGAAGGTAGTCCCAGAAGTCCTAGGTCAAGAACTTCCAACAGGCTAGGTCCTCTGAAGTTGGACCATGTCTCCAGTGGTCACTCTGGCTTCCCTGTGGGGGCGTGTTGAGTCAGGGAGGGGGGACTATGTGTGCATCATCCGCACTTCAGCACAGCTTACAAGGGTCTCGATTTAGAGAGAGCAGATAGTGAGAAGGCAACCAGCCTTTTCTTCAGAGGGTTCCCATGCCCAGCTCTTCACCGTCAACCGCATGAGCCCTAATGGTCTCTCTCTCCTCATTGCATAATCCTCCTTCTTTCCTAGAGGCGTCCTGTTTCACTTGATTTTCTTTTTCCCCTTTCTACTTTAGCTTCTTGTTTTCTACAAAGCAGTCGAGTGAAAGACTGCTCTGTGGAAGGTTTCATACACAAGAAATTACTATTTTTATGTTCCCTCCCTTAGGGTATGCTCAAGCACAATCCATACTTTTGTGGGCATTTTTTCCCTATAATATGTTTGTAGCCAGAATGTGGAACCGGCTTCAAGAAAATTAAACAGAACAAGGGAAGCCATGTGCCCCACAATTAAAGGAAACACTCCGAGTGGCAGTAGGCGCCCAACAGGACAGCTCGCCCTGCCAAGCAGCCAGTGTGCAGCCAGAAAACATGCCAAGCCTCCCTGATTTGTAATGGGATTTTT